CAGATTTTTACTGACATAGATTAGCAAAAGCTTGAGATTCTTTTGATATGTATGCTGCCTCGTCCCAGACCTGACTCAGGAATTAGTCCCCTGAGGCCAGCAAGGATCTAACCCCAGTTATGGGACTGGAGACCATGGAAGGGGGTGTGAAGGGAACTGGCCCCCTTGGGTGGTAGACTGAAACATGCCCCCAATATTCTGCTGCTCCTCCTATCCAGATTCACCCCTTGAATCTGGGCTGGCCTCGTGACTTGCCAGGACCAGTAGGACATGTGGGAAGTGCCATGATGCAGGTTGCAGAGCCAGGCCTCACAGGCTTAGCCCCTGCCTGCATCCTCCAGGAACCCTGAGGCCTCCAGGCTGTGAAGAAGCCAGCATGAACAACCACGTGAACAGAGAGGCCTGGCATCCGGGCTCGCCCGATGGAGCCCAGATCCAGAGAATGCAGCCATGCCAGCGAACCCAGACAAGGCCAGCCAACCCACAGAACTATGAAAATAAATTGTTGTTTCGAGGCACTGAGTATGGAGTGGCTTGTTACTTGGCAACAAACAACAAAAACACTTTGCAGGGTAACTTCCAAGGCAGGGTCATTTCAAGGTTTTCAGGAAAGGTGGCACTAGCCTCATCAGGCAAAGGAACAGGGACTGTTTCTGCTGCACAGAGGCTCAGTGGGGCTAGGGGTTGGGGAGTATGGAGTGGCTTGTTACTTGGCAACAAACAACAAAAACACTTTGCAGGGTAACTTCCAAGGCAGGGTAACTTCCAAGGCAGGGTCATTTCAAGGTTTTCAGGAAAGGTGGCACTAGCCTCGTCAGGCAAAGGAACAGGGACTGTTTCTGCTGCACAGAGGCTCAGTGGGGCTAGGGGTTGGGGGGGGCTCTAAATCATCCAAGTCTTCCCATATGTCCCCTGTCTCATTCCCACCCTGAGATCAGTACCCTAGATGCCACCTGAGACTAGCAGCGCTGTGAATTCAACTGACAAATTGACCATATAATTTGGTGGCTGCAGCAGCAAACTCATGTCACAATAAATCATAAAATGTAGCTTGGTGCTCCCCTCCTATCCTTGGACCCCTTCTTGTCTCCCCTGTTGGGTTGTGATCTTTGGCTTGTACGCAGTGTAGGGAAATGGAAGAATGACATGGAAAAAAGGGAAGTAATAGAGCTGTCCACTCCTCAGCATGTGCATTTTAAGTGCAAAAACACTCCCTCATTCTTGCTGGAACAGCCAGGTTGGTCAGCCCAGGCCTGGGCACGTGAACCTGGTGTTCCCCCCACAGATGAGACACTGGAGAGTGGAGTGTAATGGAGCTGAGCAGACATGTCCAGGTCACACTGAGGAAAAGGAAGAAAGACTGCAGCCAGATGTATGAAGGGTTGAGTGTCCCCAACAGCACCTGCAGGCATAATGCAGTCCATGCCGTGAGAGATGCTGCGACAGAGCACTGGAGGGAGCCACACTTCTGACTGGAGGCCTAGAAGGTTCCCTGCGAGAGGTGGTGACCTTTGAGATAGGCCTAGAAGGACGAGGAGGGGCTCAACAGGCAGAGGAGACAGGGTGAGCAAAAGGAAATAGGGAGATAGTGAGAAATGGAGAGGGGAATGGCAGGAAAGAATGTTGGGGTAAGTGGAGGGGCTGAGTGGCAAAGACCATCTGTTCCACTCCTATAAACTTTCACTGGCCCGCTCTGTGCCTCAGCCTGGGGCCTCCCCATCACCCCCGCCCCAGCCTTCTCCAGCAGTTCACCCCTCTGCTCTCCCCTCCAGCCTCTCCACCAGCCCCCTCACTATGTTCGCAGCTCACCTGCCCATCCCAGCGGTTGCACCTCTGTTCCAGCTGCTCTTGTCATCTAGAATGCCTCTTTCCCTTGTAGCTACCCAACACTAGCACCCCTTCTTCCAGGAGTCTCCCCTGACACTTCAGTCCAGCTGAACCTGAGGCACTGTGACATCACGGAAAGAATTGGGCTTTAAAGTTGTATGGGGTGTGGCTCAAATCCCAGCTCTGCTGTAGGATCTGGAATTACTACTTTCAGCTGATATTTATTGGCTACATATTTGCTAAGTACCATGGGTTACGTCATTTAACTTTTACCACATCCTTATGAAGTAATCTGTTATCATTCCCATCCTACTCTGAGGCAACTGAAGCTCAGAGAGGTTAAGTAACTGGCCCAAGGTCACACAGCTAGGGAGTGGCAGAGCTGGGACTCTCGTTGAGTCTGTCAGTCTCCAGTACCTCTGCAGCTAAGTACCACAGCACCCACTGAACCACTTCCTTTGAGCATTTATTAGGCACCTCCTGTGTGCGAAGCATTATGCTAGGTACAGGATGCAGCAAGACATCAGCAGACAATGGCCTGCTCTCTAAGAGGCTATAGCTGGAGTCTTGGAAAGAGAATAAGCCCCATGCTGCAGGGACTGGGATAAAGATGATATAGATCCCATTGGTGACTGCTCCCTATAAACTGTGGAGTACGGAGCTCACTTCTTCCTCCACAGCTAGAAGACACAGGTTCCCATGTAGGCCAGGCTCTGTCATTGGTCTGGGGGTGAACTTGGGCTGATCACTTCACCTCTCTGAGCCCGTTTTCTCATCTATAACATGGGAAGTAATAGCTACTCCTCAGGGAAGCCCTGGGAATTAAGTGAGATCATACATAGCAGTGTTGGGCACATAGTAGGCACTCGGTAGGTTAATCCCCTACTTGCACCCACATCTGAGACCCTCATAATCTAACATCTGAGATTTTAACAAGCACCATGCCGGGAATAAGAGGGCAATCCCTCCAATGGCCTCCAGGCGGCAGGAGAGCTCCACAAAGGACAGTGATGAGCCACTGGGGGCGTTGACACTGGTTGGACCACCCACAAGCCCCCACCCGACCCCCACCCATCTACCTCTGCCACCTGCATTGCCACCCTCCCATCAGCAACTCCAGACCTCACTGCAGGGTGTTCGAGATGCGAGATGGGAGCACAGACCTCTTACCACCCTCCCCACCTATGCCAGGTTGCAGGAGTGTGGCTTCTGGGCCTCCACACCCAGGCCTGGCTTATCTCACTGCCCACTCCCAGCTGGTGGGAGAGCTGCTACAGGATGAACTTCAGGGACAGGAGGCCTGGGTTCTATTCCAGTCTCTGAGCTGCACCTGTACGATAAGGATGACATCCTACCTAACTGGGCTATTGTGCAGATTACGTGAGATGAATATAGACTGTAAGCATGTCATGCACCTTCATGATTAGAATGTGGCCAGTTCCTCTCCTGCCCTTACTGTGTCGTGCAAAGGCAGGAGCAACTACCCATTGACTAGGATAAAATTCCAGCTCAGTCCCCACTGGCTGTGGGGCCTCAGACGGTCACAAAACCTCTCTCAGCCTTACTTATCTCACCTGTAAAATAAGGACAATCCCTACCCAGCCAAGCTATTAGTAGGCTTAGATAAAATTATATAATCAAGTATCTGGTACACAGTAGGAGCAAAATACAAAAACAGTACGAGCTGCTACTACCAAAATCGCTATTCTGACCAAGAAATGCCTACTCACCCTTCAAGGCCACCCACGCCACCTCCTCCTGGAAGTCTTCCTTGGTCTCCCCAGGCAGTCATGGCTTCCTCCTCTGGACTCCCAGAGCCCCAGTGTCCTTCCAGAACAGTCCTTTCATTTACTCAGCAAATACGTTTTTAGTACCTTGTATGTGTTATGCTGAATCTAGGTGCAGGACACACAGCGATGAACAGACTTGGTCCCTATTCTCGTGGAACTTCTATTCTAGTAGGGAAGACAGGGAACATGTACAATAAGTGCATAGTTTTGTAGTGCTAAGGAATCAGTAAAATGAGAAAACAAAGTAAAGAAACAGATGGGAGCAAGGCTGGCTATATTGGGTGGTCAGGGAAAGCCTCTCTGAGCAGATGGCATTCAAGCTGTCCTGGATGACAAAAAACAGCCCTGTGAAGATCTAGAAGAACCATTTCCCAGGCAGAAGAACAGCTAGTGCAAAGGCCCTGAGGCAGAAAAACAAAGATTGCACGTCTGGCAACAGGTGACTAGAACACAGTGAATACTTGTCTCCACCTCTAAATGAAGCCTATTGAGGGTGGAGATCTCATTTATTGAGTCCACAGCACAGGACAGATCTGAACTCTGAAAAGTTTTGTTAAAACTCCATTGTGGTAATAATGGGAGTGAATCAGCTGGCCCTTCTGCAGTCCTATCCACATCTCAGTGGACTCCACTGAATTGCCTGGCCAGATAGGGGTCCCTCCCTGGACCAACTATGCTCAGGGCAGAGTTGTCGGCAGAGGGAAGCTAGAGAGGTGCCCAGAGAGGGAGTGACCACCGCAACGTCACACAGCCAGCAGCACCAGAGATGGGGCTCACATCCAGCTTCCTCGGCTCCTCTGCCTTCCTGGCCAGCAGTCTCCTGTCCTGTGTTGGGGACACAGCCTCTCACACCCTCAAGTGTGGTGTCAGGAGCCCTAATGAACATGAGAGGCCACAGACATGAGGACTGTGTCAGAAGGGACTGTACTAGTTTCCTCCTCCCCTGCTACAAACTCCATACATTGGACCATCTGAGAGCAAGAATCCCCACAAGCTCCTTCCTTCCAAAGCCGGGCCCCAAGTCAGGCAACCTACTCCATGTGTGCCTGAGTTTGTACCCTCTGGCCTTGGGTATGAAATGAGGTCGGTTTGCAAAATGAAAGGCTGGGGGCTGAAGACTGGGGCCCTACACAGCAGGACCAGGACGCCCTGGACTCCAGGTTGAGCAGCCACAACCCCTCCAGGGCTGCCAGAGCCAGAACAACTTCCCGAGTCAGCACGCAGTGGACCCGCTGCACAGCACTGTCTGCACAGTTATCTGCCAGCACTTCAGGGCCTGATATGGGCTGTCAGTAGCAAATCTAGCTGAACTGAAAGAGACTTTGTCCCCTGAGAAGAATGATGGGTATCTCCTGATCCAATCTTCTTCTATGCTCCAACAAATTTCACTGGAAAAGTTTTATTGAAAAAAAAAATGTACAAATAAGTTCTTGGTTTGACAGCAACAAAGGCTCACATTCCCCTTTTCCTCCCCATCTTTGAAAAACTAAAAAAGAAAAAAAGAAAAACAAAAAGTTCATCCCCATGATGTCTTATGCAACGATTCATGACCAGAGTCTGCCCAGGAGCCCCTCCCTCCTGTGAGTATTTCTGGATCCCCCTCACTGAGGCCAGGGCCATTCTGGGGTGGCTTGGTCCCAGGGGATGCAGCACCAAGTTCTGTAGTTGAGGGAAGTTAGGATAGGTTGGGACAGAGCTGGGGAGGTGGCTGAGGTGGTGGTAGTGTCAGAGCAGGGCTGGGCTGAGCCCTCCAGCTTGACTTCGTCACACAGATGGGAAAGTACTTGGCTATAAATATGAACACTGATTGAGGCAGGCTGGATGTAGGACCTTGGGGAGGGGCAGGATGACTGTCACCCAGGTCCCACAGATGTGGCATCTTTGGGCTCAGCATCATGATATGTAGGGGCCCATGTTCAAGCGGAGTGAATCTAGTGGGGAAGATCCGCTCAGGCACACAGGAACCCTGGTCTGTTTTCCACCCCCACCCGGTGGAATATCCTCAGCTGTCAAACCCCCAATAGCACCCATGTGTCTCAGGAGCCTTTGGCCGCCTCCTGCCATCCTGTGCCCACACTGGGGCCCTATAACTCATCTCGCATCTTGTCACCCTTGGGCCGGACCAGGCGCCCAATGAACAGCAGGGAGCCGCTCTGGGTGTCTCGCACCAGGAAGATGAAGGGGTGGTCGGCGTAGAACAGCTTGGGGCTGCGCAGCTCCTCACGCCCATAGATGTCCTGGTCAAAGGGGTTGCCCTCTGTGTCCCACTCGAAGGCGGTGGCGTGGAACACGCTGGCCAAGTACAGGTCCTTCTTGCCCGACATGCGCGACAAATCCGCCTTGTTCTTGTCAATGGCCTCGGTCAGGCCCAGCCCAGCAAGGTGTTTCTGTGGGACCAGGGGCCAGGTGAGGCCACGGCATGCAAGGCTCCTACACCCTCACCCTCCACCCACAATACTCTGACTGCTCCTCAGAGGGGACATAAACACTCCCGGGCACCCTGTGTGCCAGGCACAGTGCTGGGCGCCTCAAACCACTGCTCTCATTCTCGCTGCAACCCTGCCAGGGCTTTGCATCACCATTTCACAGATGAGGAAGGTGAGACTTAGAAACACAAGTTAGAACTGATCCTTGGCACTGCCCGGCAATGTCAAGCGGTGCTTCTCCAAGTGTGGTTCAAGGACGGGCAGCACCAGCGGCACCCGGGAGCTCATCTGAAATGCACATTCCCTGACCCCAGCCCGGACCCACTGAACAGAATCTCTGAGGGTGGGCCCAGTGCTTTCTAACAAGCTCCCCAGGTGATTCTTAGCACACTCAAATTTAAGAAAGATTGATCTAAGGACAGCTATGTCCACACCACTCTGGAGCTTAAAACCTTTCCAGAGTGCTATAGATTTGCTTCAAAACTCGATGCAGCCAGAGGGTTGGGTGGGCGAAGATGAATCACTATTGGCTGTGAGTTGATGATGGTGGTGGAAACATGAGGATTTATTACACTAATCTCTAATTTTAATATATCTTTATAATGTTCCACGGTAAAAAGTTAAAACACACACACACCCATTCCCATGGCTCTGCACAGCCTTTGGATACGAAACACAAGCTCTTTGATATGTGACCTGTGCCTATACCACAGCCTCCAGTCTCACCCCTTAGCTCTCCACAGATAGCCTCACTGGACAACTGGCCTCCTAGATGGCTATCCTCCCTCCCTATAGGCCCCTTTAGACACCATATCTTCCAGGAAGCCTTCCCTAACCCACAAGACAAGTGGTGCCTTCCCTGGGTCTCAGCACCCCTGGACTTCCCTCTGTTCAGTGTCTAGTCCTGTCTGTCTCTCCCACCTTGGCTGGTAGCTCCCTGAGGGCCCATGTCCAGGGCTCTGCCTGGCTCTCAGTGTGGAAGGGATGTCTGCAAAAGACCACTGGCTGAATGAACTGCAGCCTCCTGGGCCGAAGCTTCTGCAGGACAACCTCTCCCTCCCTGGCAAGGCCGAACAGGCACGAGGCCTGGGGTCCTGAGACTCAGGGGGTCCTGAGACAAGCCTTCTATGTAGGCTTAGCTATTCCAGGCCCAATGAGCTTGTACGAGTCACATACCTTGAATTCCCCAACTCAGTCTACCCCATGGGCTGGTAGGTGGTGTATATACTGAGGGTTCCAGGAAGACATGGGAGGAACACGCCATTGGAGAAGGGGCTGGGGAAGAACTGAGCCAGGCCCAGCAGGGAGCAGTGAGGGCTCCTCACTGGAAGCTCTGTGTCTACACTACAGACCAGTAGAAGCTCTGCTAATGTCTGGTTTGGAGCCTATGCCCCATTTCATCTCAAGCTTTCTCTATCCAAGCTGTCTCAGCACTAAGTCTGATCAATTCTGTGGGTGAGAAGCCTGCCAAGGAACCATTTATTTAAGGCAAAAATGAGATGAAAGTTTTCTCTTTCGAGTAGGTCAAAAATCTCTCTCCTAATTGACCACAAGGCCACCATATTTCACCTTGAGGGCTAATTGCAGCTCCACCACTTAGGAGCCAGAGGGACTTTAGTGAATCACTGTTTCTCTCCGAGCTGTGAGAACAAAATAATCTTGATCTCATGTGTTAAGTTTCTGGTCATCCTTAAGTTATTTGTCTTATTACTGCATGGTGGATAATCCTCCAGCTTGAACAATCTGTAACTGGGGGCACGTCAAACTCTCAGAGGCATTGCAGGGACTTAGGGCTGGCTCTGGCACAGGATGTCTGAATTACTGGCTGTGTGACTTTGGACATATCACTTACCCCTTCTGAGCCTCAGTTTCCTCATCTATAAGATAAACTTTACAGTCCTACCTAACAAAGTTGTTTTGAGGATAAATAGAGTTTAATACGTATAAAGTGCTTGGAAGAGTGCCTGGCACACAGCTGATGTTCAATTACATCCAGCTGCCCAAGGGCAGGGCCGCACCTCCTCCCCAGCTTCCCACACAGCAGAGCCCAGGATTGCCCAGACACCCAGCGGGGCTGAGGACAGACCTGCTCAGCTGGTGAATGAGTGCCCCAAGTACCTCCCCTGCCTCCAAGCCCTGCAGGCCCAAGTTGGGTCACCCCTCACCTGTAGGTCGTGGGTCACCTCCACCACACCCTTGGGCAGGGAGATGGCGACAGCCTTCTTCTGCATCTTCCCCATCCAGATCTTCAGCTGCTCTTTGGTCAGTAGCTTTTCAAGGCGCTCAAGGGGCTCCACGTGGTGGGGCATGAGGATGATGAGGCTGGAGAGCTTATGGGCCAGGGGCATCTCCACCATCTGCAGCTTCTCCTTCTCGTCGTCATAGTAGTTGTAGAGGCCTGGAGAAGGGCAGAGAGGACACTGGGCACACTGTGGAGTGGGTACAGGCCAGACTCCAGGCACCCTTGGACCCCCCCACAGATGCCCTGCTCCACATGGCACCTACCTGTCCGGTGCATCATCGTGACACCCACGGTATAGGAACGAGTCACCATGAAGCCACGGTTGTCCACCATCTTGTGGTGGAATTTCTCATCCCAGTGTGCTGCAGAGGGGCAGAACAGAGAGTCAGAAATATACACAGCCCAGACAGACACGGCCCACAACCACCCATACTGCATACCCTGGACTATCCTTGCCATCGGCCTTTATTCCATTCTTCAGGGCCCAGCGGCTGCCCACCTCCCGTGAGTGCCCAGCCCACCGAGTACACATTCCCTGTTTTGGGATGAAGGGGTCCTGGCCCCAGGACATGCCATGCAGTTCTCCATAGTCAGTGCCTGGCTGCTCCCACAGGACAGGGAATTCATTCCACCCTCGACCCTGGAACTAGTCAGGTATTTGTGCTGAGCTGGGTTTTCTACCCACCTGATGAACTGAGGGGGTCTGTACCCTGTGACCACCCTTAATTCTTGTCTGCAAGTTCTGCCTCCATGGCCAGAAAATAACCAAAATGACAATGTTTGTGTGACAGTGGCCTGAGTCCTTCCCTTAGTCACAACCAGACCTGTGTTCCAGTCCAGGCTCGGCCACTGACTGGCTGGGAAGCCTTCTCGCCTCTCCTCGCTTGGTCTCATTTGTAACACAGGGTTACCTCCTCCTCACAGCAAACAGTGAGGGCAACAGTACCATCTACACAGAACTCAGAAAGGTCCATTACCCCAGATCTAATGTTCAATTGAATACAGATGCATCTGAGCCCGAGGCCTGGCTCTGAGTTGAGCCTGTTTCTTTACCTGTGAAATGGAGGTAAGAGTGCCTGCTTTTAGGGTTATTTTAAGGATTAGGGGCCTTTCTCCAGCTTGCTACTGAAGCAGAATTGATTACTGAATTTTGATGACTTTCGGTAGGAACACATCCTCTGGAGCCCCTCTGGGGGCTTGGCTCCCTGTCCTATCCTCTCTGAATGTAGTTTGCAGTGTGTGAAAGGGTTTGATAACACTCCTGCCTAGGCAGGTTGTGATGATTACAAGAGAAGCAGCGAAGTGCTCAGCACAGGAATGTTGCTGAAACTAGGGCTCCTGGGAGGAGGAGACTCACGCTTGAAGAACATGGCATTGACCAGCAGGGCGCCGTCAGTGCGCTCCACGTCCTTGGTGATCTCAGGCAGCTTGCCGTCGGTGGTCTGCGCGGCCCACTCGTTGATGGACTGCAGGGCACTGCGTTTGTCACGGAAGTTGATCTTGGAGTGTTCACAGTTGTAGTGCTGCTTGCTGCTGCGCACGAAGTCGTCGGCAAAGCTCACTGAGCTGGGCCCATACAGGCGGCTGCCCAGCTTCCAGGTCACATTGCGTGCAGTGGAGTTGCTGAGCGAGCGCAGCAGCTCGCGTAATAACTTCGTATAGCATACATTATACGAAGTTATACGCTCGTTGATGGACTGCAGGGCACTGCGTTTGTCACGGAAGTTGATCTTGGAGTGTTCACAGTTGTAGTGCTGCTTGCTGCTGCGCACGAAGTCGTCGGCAAAGCTCACTGAGCTGGGCCCATACAGGCGGCTGCCCAGCTTCCAGGTCACATTGCGTGCAGTGGAGTTGCTGAGCGAGCGCAGCAGCTCGCCCAGGCCGGCGTGCACCTCCTCATCCCGCAGCTGCTCAGCGCTCAGCACTGCCTTGGCCTGTGACGCCGTGACCGCCTTGCCACCCAGTGACACAAGACCCAGAGATGAGGCCACTACCACGGGCGACAGCAGGATGTTCTCCACTGCCTGGTCCTTAGCCATGGCATGGTACAGGCTAAAAGCCAGGCCCGAGCTGCGCTCAGCCAACGTGGCCGCTTTGGGGCTCAACTTCTCTGCTGTGCCAGCAGCTGCTGTGGCTGCAGGTTTCTTCACCTCGGCTGCCAGGGCCACGGCCAGGAGGCAAAAGGCGCTGAGGACCAGGAGGAAGCGCATGGCTGGGAGGTGGGCCACGTGCACCACAGTGGACCTATGAGGGCTGCAGAGAGAGGGTGGCCCTGAAGTTCTGGGCCTTCCTCACCAACAACCAACCCCAGCCTCTGGCTGCCACCAGGTCCCCTGCAGATGGGAGCAAGAGAGCCCAGAGTCCTGAAGCCCAAACCTGACTCAGGGCTCCCCAGTCCTCAGAGGCTTTCTCTGACCTCCCCATTCAAAGCAGGGTTCCCAACAAATCACCATCAGACCACCCTGTGGATTTCCTGCCGTGGACATCCAATACTTACACATACTTCTACATTTATTATGTAACTATTTCTGCCCTTAAGTATGCTGTGGCCTCCACAAGGACAGGAAACATAGCTGGTCTGGTTCCCCACTGTATCCCCAGTGCCTAGCACATAACAAGCCTCAGCTATTCCCGAGTGATGGTAAAACAGGGACACTTGGTCAGACCCAGGGCTCTCATCAGTTTATACAGAGGTCAGCTCTGATCACATGACCCTAGGGGACCTTTTCTAGTGAGAAAAAGCAGCAGCCAAGCTGAGGGTTGCCCAGGTGCCTGGGTAAAGGATGTCAGGCGGGACAGAGCGGTTGGCCTGTCCTGCCCCATACCTTTCATTCTGTCCTGGGATGTTAATGAGTCATTGAATGGTTCACTCATTAAATGGGGAAGCCCAGATGTTCCACTCTGCTGCTCCAAGGGTGACCTTGAGAGAGAGAGAGTGTGTGTGTCTACCCAACCTCAGTCTCCCTTTTCCAAGCTGCAAGGTCTAGGTCTCCAAGCCCTAGGCTTCCATCTTGGCAGGGACCTGACCTGCCCATCTGCCAACAGCCCCTGGACTGGATGGGAAATTCCTAGGACAAAAGCTCCGGGGACCAACTCCTTTGGAAACTTGGGGGGGGGGGGGACACTTCCACAGAGAGCAGCAAGGACAGGATACCGGGGAAGAGAGTGAGTCACAGCTCAGTGGAGCAGCAACCCCATCCCCCTATTGCCAGAGATTGGCCAAATGTGTGTTCAGCCTCCCAGGAAGCTGGAGTCACATCAGATTCCATTCTGCCTTCCCATCTGACAGCCACTGCCACACAGGCCATATGCCCCATGGCTTCAGGGTTGCCCTCAGGCTCCCTTCCTGAACCTCAGCAGTAGCAGTGGCCCCTGGGACAAGCCCCACTCCCCTTTCTGGGGCCTCTAATCAGGACAGTCTCTTTTCATGGGACTTCCACGCCCCCCCTCCTCCTTTCAGGTCATTTCCCCCTTTACTTCCTGCAGCTGGATGGGAGAGGACAGGGCAAAGGGAAGGGTCAGAAGGAAGCCTGGTGAATATTGGGACCTTACTGCTCTGATAGATCCCATCTTGTGGTCCTCATCAAACACAAAAAATTTGCAATCCTGGTGGAGGACCCTGGCCTGCCTGCATGAGCACTGTATTTCTAGGAAGAAGCTACTGCTGCCATCCTGAACACCTAGGCAGGTCCTCCCACCTCCCTGGGCTGCTGCCCTCCTTGAGGTCTTGAAGGTGCAGTGCAAAGGAGAAGCAAAGGGTCCAAGAAAAGGGAGGTGGGGAGAGGAGGGAGGGCCACTGAGATCCTGGAGGGGCACACAAATGCCTGGGGGATGATACAAGAGAGATCTGAGTCTCATCATAAAGTACAAATTGGGGTGGAGGGTATCTTGGGGCCCAGACTAGGCCCCAGGCCACTTCCCTCCTGGCCCTGGCTCCTTCCCCACCAGGACTGGAGCCTCAAAGGCAGAGTGATTATATAATTTATTGTACAAACGAAGACACTTATGAAAATAAAACGGGCACTACTAATTTTTATGCCAGGACAATAGGCATATGTTTACCCTACTCAAAGGCCACCTCTAACCTAGACAGCTGATGCCAGAGCTCAAACCACTGCCAAAGTCACCAGCATCCCCTCCCTTAGGGAGCAGTCAATGAGCCCAGCTCCTAGCCCTGCTTGCCACGTGGCAGGAACCATCTTGATGGCCCCCACCCCCAGCCAACCAGAACTTTGAGGGCTGGGAGGGGCTTTTCAAGAAAGCTCCAAATGACTAGGTTGGCATTCCTCAGGCAGCCACACAGCTTAGCTCCTGCTCCTGGTGACGTGGCAGGCAGGAAGCTGAATTATCTCCACCAGCCGGCAGAGGGGGGCTTCTAGCCTGAGAAACAGGAGGCCTGGGTCCCCAGGGGAAGCCATGCAGACTCCAGGAGCCTTCCTGGCCTTGTTTCGCGTCCGCATATCGGTCTCTGCAGGGAGACACGTGGCCGGGGGGAAGGGCTGCCCTGTTAAACCCTGCAGCGGGCACGGAGGAAGGCACGTTACGGCAAGCAAGCCCCAGCCCAGCCCATCTTGCCACAGAGAAATGCCAGCCTTCAGGCTGAGGTTAGACAATTTACAGTCTCAAAAAGAAGCATACAAGATGACTTAGCTGAGGGCTGTGACCACAGCTAGACGGACTTAGTTGGAGATTCCAGGACTTTTTGTAAGAAAGAGAGAAGGGGAGGAGATGCTGGGGGGCCACCAGAGGGTCTCAAACACTTGAGAGGGGTCTAAAGTACCTTGAAACTGCCTCAGGGGGAGGTCAATGCCTGCCTTTTTCATTCTGAAAGAAAACAGAAGAGTGAGGAGGATGGGCCCAGCAGAAGGCAGGTGAGGAGGGACCTGAAAGGCCCTGTCCCCAAAGGGCACCCACACACATTGCCCCTGCACAGAAGGCATAACCAGTCCTAGACCCACAGGGACCTTGGAGGTCGACCGCCTCGCTGTACAGTGGGGGAAACTGAGGCCAGGGCAGGGAGCCACCCCAGTTCCCTCAGGGATGAGTAGGAGTTGGGTTTCCCAGTTCAGGGCTCCTTCCTTTCAGAAGCGCTCACGGGAGGAGTCTCTCCTGAGGGGTGCATGCGGTGTCCTGTTACAGCCAGTACAAAAAAATCTCTGCTGGGAATACCAGTGACCAGAGACAAAGGAGGGGACAGGAAGAGGGGACGGGTACACGAACCATTGAGGACAGGAGGATGTGGCCCCAGTCAGACTTCCAGGGAACCAAAGCTTCCTGATTTTCCCCAGGCCTCCATCCAGGCCCTGCAGCCCAGAGGGACCCACCGGAAACCGGGGAAGAGGAGGGGCCAAGACTTGGGACCAGGCTGGAAGTGTTTTCATTCTTCCTCCTCCTCTACAGCCACCTCAGGAATGTCCCTAAGCTGTGGGTAGGAAATCCTGGCCTCTGAAGTAGCCTTAACCCTGCAGTTACTCCAGGAACCAGATGGCAGTGGACAGTAAGGGTGGGTGACTCAAAGCCTTCTAATCTGCCCCCCACACACACACACACCGGCCCCCAGGGTGCAAACCCTGCGATTCTTCATCCCCCCTTTTTTTTGACAGGGAGGAAAATCGGTGCTGGTCAAGTCATTCCTTTAGCTGCCATTATCTACACATGCAGGCTGCCGACCAGAAATGGAGCTACCGTTAGTGACTCCTCCCAAAGCATGCAGACCCCAAGAGTCAAGAACCCCACCCCAGGAAAAGACAAGACTATTTCACCTCCTTTCCTACCACCCTACCTTCAGGAGGCTCAGATGCCCCCTAACAAGCCTGTGAGGAGGCTGTGCTATCAATCACTGCTGGCCCCTGGGCCTCCACCCCAGAACTGCAGGCACCTCGAACTAAAAGCTGGCCTGTCCTCCCCGTCCCTGCTGGAAGAGGCCCCAGACGCCATCTCCTCCCTCCTCTGTTTCTGCAGAGGGCTGGTCTCAGCACCCTAGCCCCCAGCCCCACTGTCTCATGTCTGCACCACCACCCCCGCCCCAAACTTTAGGGGACCCTGCACTTTCTCTGGATCCTCCGAGTGCTTCGACTCCCCACCCCGCCTCTGATCTCCGCCTACCCTCAGGCTCGCTCCATCACCATCCAGCCCGTTCTCCATCCCGAACCTCCAGCTGCCTCCAAAGTGCCAGGACTCCACTTTCCCGGCTCTGACAGGGCCCCAACCCCTCCCGGGCCCACCACCATCCCACTCCCCTCAGCACCCCCAGATCGCCCGGCGCTCCCCGGCTGCCCCCAGGCCTGCCCGAAGTGAACCCATTCCCCCCACCCCCCTACACCCCCCGTTTTCGAGCTGAAATTTAACGGGGTCCCCCTCTGCCACTGCTCAGTCAGGGCCCCTCTCCTTTGCTTCAGGGGAGGTGGTCAGACTTTGGGAGGCAGAGCCTTCCTCCGTCCGGGGTTCATCCTAAAACCTCAACCTTGGTTGAGCTCAACCTCGGTGAGCGCCCCGCGGGGCAGGGTGGGGCCAGACCCGGTTCCTGATCCTCGCCCCGGAAAGCCCAAGTCCTGGAGTAAGAGAGGCAGAGACACCTGGGAACATCAGGAGGTCCGGTGGGGCAGGTAGAGGCGTACGGGAAGGAAAACCCTGGCTATCCACTAAGTAACGTGCTATGTGACCCTGAGCGAGTTACCTTCCTTTTCTAGGCCTCAGTTCCCTTGGCTGCGAAATGTGAAGATAAGGCACTCCTTGCTTCCTTCCCTGCCCCTCTCTCCCTTTCTCTCTCAATCCTTGGTCGTCCCTGTCCCCTCCCTGTCTGGATCGCCTCCCACAGGCTCCAGGTCTCACTGGCAAATCCTCCCACCCCACCCTCTCACAGCTGATAGCCCCTTGAGTTCTGAGTTAAGCTGGGGTATTCATTACTGTTCTGGGTGCTGAAGACACTGCTGAGAACTGGACAAAGTCCCAGCCCTCAGGGATGTACATTCTGAAGGGTATGTGCATGTTAGTAGGGAATCCAGTAAGGAAGATGATTTAGGACCCCGCCCATCTTCTTAAATAGTGAAATGATGTATAACAGATAGGCGCAGTGTGGAGAGGGAGAGACCAAGTGGAGAGACATTTTATTCACTCGTTCAATCCATCAACAAACTGTTGATCAAACAAGCTGAGCTGAGCATCTTCTTTCTTCTGGGTGCATGCCTGGGGAGCAAATGAATCTCAGCATGCAGCAAATGAATCATCTGGGTCCCTGACCTCAGTCAGTTGCA